ACTGGCAAGGTACTGCGTCATCGTAGGCACCAACGATTTGAGCGGTCCGGCAACTCGCCCGTATCCCCTCCCTCCTTAATCGCTATCATACACCAGGGTGCGGTATCCTCTTCCCCCAGTGGCGTCTGGGAGGATCCCGCATTCGCACTGGGCCAAGCTGCCCGCTCCGTCGGGCGGCCGCGGGCGCGCGAACGCGGCTGGGAGCGTTGCAGAGCGTTGCGAGAGAGGGAGGAGGAGGAGGAGGATGAGGAGGAACGTGAGGAGCAGCGTTAGCCCGAGGTGCATCAACGATGCTGTAATACGACCGGCCGTCCCAAGCCACCTCATCATCAGCCCCTGCAAGAACTTCTGTTCACGGTGGGCGGTGCCTCCGTGACATACGAGCGCCCCGTGGTCGTGCAACTCAAGCGAGAACGACGCCTTGGAAAGGAGCCGCCACCCATGCTTTTAGCCACGAGGGCGACGGCGAGCTGTGACCACCAGGGCCACATGACATGTCCACCGGGACAGCCCCGCCCCGTGCTGCAAAGACGGAGCGCCTTCGGTCTGGGCAAACGTTCTCCGAGCTCCGAGCCTCTGGTCGCGGAGCCCCGGGGGCGTCTTTGGCGTGCCCCGCCGAGACCTCCGTCCGTGGAGCGGCTGACGCGAGGTTCAGTGTCTTGTCATAAAGATTACAGAGGGGCTCAACCGAAAGTTCGGGCTTGAACAGGAAACACTCGACACCCACACGCTTGTTGGAAGGCTCCAGATTGACACGCGCGGCTCCAAATCAACGCCTCCCCCCACGCGCGCGCCATCCTCACAGCCTGGTGGAAGTTTTCAGGGCGAGCGCGCGCGGTGCCAAAGCAGGGGCCGCACTTTGAAAACACTTGTGTGCTCCATCTGAGTAAGTGTTTAAACGACTGAGCGCGGCGCTCTGGCGAGAGCCACGTTTCCTTTCAAGACGAACGCGCGCGGCGGCCAGGCGATTGCCACATTTTGACAAAAAGTAGCCTTCTATTCATCTGAGTGTTCGGCGATCCCAGCCACATGTTGAAAACATATGTTGCGACATCCGCGAAGTTGTCGGGAGCTTTCCAGACGAAGGTGCGTGGCTTTCATGCGATCGCTGCATTTTGTGAGAAAAAACAAATCACATTCGTGCTCCATCCGCGTAACCAACGGTTGGAAGTTGTGGGCCGAATGTGCGCGGCGATGCGCGAAACCCCCATTTAAACAATAGCAGCATCCGCGTACATGTTGGGAGCATGTTGTACGAATGTGCGCTTCGCCCATGCGAGAGCCACATTTGGAAAGCGATCTGTGCTCCATCCGTGTAATTGCTTAATGCAGGGAGGGAGCGGTTCGGCTCGGTTCAGTTAGGTTCCGATGTGCGTCCAGTTCGGTTCGGTTTGGCGTTGGAATTTTCCAGTTCGGTTCGGTTCGGTTCGGCGTCGGAGTTTTCCGGTTCGGTTCGGTTCGTCATGCGTTTGGTTCCCGTTCGGCCCTGTTCGCCACGCGAATTGGGGCGAACCAGGCCGAACTCGGGGGCCCGGGCGACTTACCCAAACGGCGCCGGGACTTACTTTTTCGGGCCCCTGGGGGCCCTGCAGGATTTAATTACCCAAACAGCCCCAGGACTTTTCGGGCCCCCGGGGACCCAAACGGCCCCGGGATTTTTTTGCGGGCCCCCGGGACTTACCCAAACGGCCCCGGGATTTTTTTTCAGCCCCCGGGGCTCCTGAGACTTACCCGAACGGCTCCAGGACTTCTTTTCGCCTGCCTCGGGACTTCTTTTTCGGGGCCCCAGGGGCCCCTGGGCGCCCCCAGGACGTACCCAGACTGCCGACTGCCCCGGGATGTACTTCTTCGGGCGGGGGCTTCCAGGGGCTCCCGGGACTTACCCAAACTGCCCCGGGACTCACTACTTTCGGGCCCCCCTGGGGGCCCCCAGGACTTGCCCAAACGGTCCCAGGACTTGCTTCTAAGTGTTTTGATAGTAATACTGTACCTACGGACCTGAAAATTTTACTGGCGAGTGCGGCATAACACACTACAGGTGCGACAAATCTGCGTTCTCAAAATGAATTGTCAAATATCTTCCAAATATTAGCAAAACCACCCAAAAGTTGTTACTTTGTCCTTTCTGGTCGGGTCCCAGGATTACCCCCAGGGCCTTCCAGGGCCCCGGGACTGGCCCAAACGGCTCCAGGCTCCAGGACCGGCGCCCGGCTGCCCCGGGGACTTTCGAGACCAGTTCGGTCCGGTTCGGTTCGGTTCGGTTCGGTTCAAAATCGAATCCGATTCGGTTCGGTTCGGTTCGGGTCGTTTTCAAACATCGCGTCGCTCCGGTTGAGTTCGGTTCTTGTTGAGAAAAATACCGCTTCGCGCCGGTTCGGTTGAGCCCAGCCCGGTTCGGTTCGGTCGTCTCGGTTCGGTTTTGGGATGGAAGTTTCTTGTTTATGTATCCTCTTGCACAGGGTGTCTAGAGCTCCGACCACTTTATTCCGCGTTGCACACACACCCCTCCCCGCGTCCCCAGCGCCAGAGTGGGACCCCCGCGCCGTGGCTCTCTGCCCCGAGCTCCCCCGCCCCAGCGCCCCAGCGGGAGCCCCGCCGACCGCCCCCTCGTCCACGAACGTATTCCTCGTCGCACATCCCCCCCCGTCCCGCGTCCCCAGCGCCAGAGTGGGACCCCCGATCCGTGGCTCTCTGCCCCGAGCCTCCCCGCGTCCCCAGCGCCCCAGCGGGAGCCCCGCCAACTGCCCCCTCCGCCACGAACGCTTTATTCCGCGTCGCACCCCCCCCCCCTCCCCCGCGTCCCCAGCGCCAGAGTGGGACCCCCGCGCCGTGGCTCTCTGCCCCGAGCCCCCCCGCGTCCCCAGCGCCCCAGCGGGAGCCCCGCCAACTGCCCCCTCCGCCACGAAAGTTTATTCCGCGTCGCGACGCACACCACCTCCCCCCCCCCTCCCCGCGTCCCCAGCGCCCCAGTGGGGCTCCGCCCCGTGCCCCCTCCGCCCCGACAATTTATTCCGCGTCGCGACGCACCCACCCCCCCCCGTCCCCAGCGCCCCAGTTGGACCCCCGCCCCGTGGCCCTCTGCCCCAAGCCCCGCCCAGTGCCCCCTCCGCCCCGACCATGTTACTCCGCGTCGCGACGCACACCACCTCCCCCCCCTCCTCTCCGCGCCCCCAGTGCCCCAGTGGGACCTCCGCCCCGTGCCCCCTCCGCTCCGAGCACTTTATTCCGCGTCGCGACGCACGCCACCTCCCCCCCTCTCCCCACTTGGGATGTGGGCCCCGTTGCTGGGCCCCGAGGGGCGATGTCTTCCCCCCTCCTCCTCCACCTCCTCCTCCTCCCCCTTCCTTTTTGTGCAAGAGCTATGGCACACGTGCCACTTGTTAACACGAATGCGCGCGGCGCTCAGGCGAGATACCAACGTTGGCAACGATACTTGCACCATCCGTGCAATTGCCGGGAATGTCAAAAACGGTTGCGCGCATCGCCAAGGCGTGAACCATATTACGCCTCCCTCCATGGATTCAAGCATTGGGAACTTCAGTAGTCACGCGTATGCGCGGAACAGGTATCAGGCGAAACGCCCGGCCCGCCCTGTAAACATGTCTGGTGGTCAGACGAGGGGGAGGTATCTTCGAGGAGAAAGGACGCAGGAGCAGGAGGAGCACGAATTTCTTTTCTCGGGCAGCGACCACTGGTTGATCCTTCCAAGAAGAGGAGGAGGAGGAGGAGGAGGAGGAGGAGGAGGAGGAGGAGGAAGAGGAGGAGCAGGAGCAGGAGCAGGAGCAGGAGTACAGTACGAGGGCGAGGCCGAGGAAAAAACGGATGAAGGAGGGGGAAGGAGGAGGAGGAAGAAAAGGAGGAGGAGGAGGAAGAAGAGGAGGAGGAGGGGGAGGAGGAGAAAGAGGAGCAGCATGAGGAGGAGAAAGAAAAATGAGGAGGAGGAGGAAAGCGAGGAGGAGGAGGCGGATGGAACAGGAGGAAGAGGAAGAGAAGGGGGAGGAGGAGGAAGAGGAGGAGGAGGAGGAGGAGGAGGAGGAGGAGGAGGAGGAGGAGGAGGAGGAGAAGGGGGAAGGGAACAGGAGGAGGACAGTGGCGGCGGCGGCTGCCTCTCCAGGCGGGTCCCGCCTGCCAGTATCCTCTTGTTGTCTCCCCCTGCCACTCCCTGACTCCAAATCCGCCGTACTTTGGCTTTTTTCCCAACTTAAAATTGCGTCGGAAATCCACCTATAAGAAGCCGAAAAAGTAGGGCGGAAATTTCTGCACCCAACATAAAATGGGGCGAAAATCCACAGAAGTAGGGCGGAAGCAACAACAGAAAAGTAGGGCGGAAATTGGCATCAGCGGGGCTTGAAAAGTAAGGCGGAAATTCCAAGCCCTACTTACGAATTTCCCCAAAGTAGGGCAGATCCGGAGTCAGGGCTGTATCCCTCTCGCTCGCGCGCGTGGTTTGTGGGCACACCCCGCCTCCGCGGCCGCTGTCTGCCTTTCCGCCCGCGCCAGTGCGACCGGTGCCCGGCGCGGCCCGCTGGCGCTGGTCCGCCAGAGCTGCGGGCCGTGCCGCGCTCGCGTCCGCCGGAGCTGGCGTGGGCAGCACGACGTGGGAGGGGCGTGCCGAGGTGAGGGGATGTGCCGAGGTGAGCGGGTGCCGGGAGCAGGGAGGAGGAGGAGGAGGAGGAGGAGGAGGAGGAGGAGGAGGAGGAGGAGGAGGAGGAGGAGGAGGAGGAGGAGGAGGAGGAGGAGGAGGAGGAGGAGGAGGAGGAGGAGGGGAGGAGGAGGAGGAGGAGGGGAGGAGGAGGAGGAGGAGGAGGAGGAGGAGGAGGAGGAGGAGGAGGAGGAGGAGGAGGAGGAGGAGGAGGCGGGGCGCCGTCTCTTCAAAACGAGGGCCCAGCACCACGGGATGGTTGAGACAAAAGCGACGGCGGGCACCGCGACGTGTTGCTCCGACGGGCGCGCGCCGCAGGAGGAGGGCGCGGGCGGGAGAGGAAACACCCCAGCGGCAGGCTCCTCGAGCACCCGCCCGCGCACCACCTCGCGCGGCCGGGGCGCCCCGGCGGCGGCTTCGGGTGCCGGGGCGCGGGCGCGCCCAGGCCCCGGGCGAGCGCCGCGCCCCCGACGACGAGCGAACGACGACGATCGACGAGGCCGACGCGGAGGATGGCCAGAGCAAGCACCAAGGTGCAGCAGCGATGCTGCCATGCAACGTCCCTGCCCCGTCCCCGAGTCCCCTCCCCGCACGCACCTGGGAGTTCTCTTGCTCATGGTTAGGTGCGGCCCCCCTTGCAAGGCCAGCGCTACATGGCCTCGCCATGTGGGTGAGGGCCCCGTTCTGAGGAGGAGCTGGATTGCACCCTCGCGCAAGATCTGGAACGCGAGAAACTAGGATCGTGTCCGGCGAGACCCCCCTTTCGAAAAAGGACCGCCTCCATCCGTGTACGTAACAGCTGCAGAAGCTTACCTTTGTGACCATGAACTTTTAGGACGTTTCGGTCCATAATTCCATGGCGAACAAGTGCCGCACTTGATCCGTGTAATGCTACACGGGCTGGAGTGACGGGCTTCTAAACTTAAGGAAAATCTCAAGCACAGTCCCAGCTCTTGAAAACATGTTAACCGTCCTTCCACCTGTTGCTATGATTCAAACGACCGCGCGCGACGCCCAGGCGAGGCCACGGAAAAACAACGACCCGTGCTCCATCCTTGTACTTGCTGCAAGACGTTAAGACCAATATGCGCAGCGCTAAGGCGGGAGCCAAGCTTTAAAATGGAACAGCCCTCCGTCCTTGAAGCTCTTGCATACTTCTATGGCGGGGCGGGCATGTTGAAACAACCTGCCCTCCGTCCTAGAAGGTGATGCACTTGTTAAAGACGAGTGCGCGCGGCGCTACAGCGAGAGTCCCATTTTGAAACGATTCGCCTGTCAAGGTAAATCCCATTATGCTGGTACTTGTGCCTTTTTCAATTCAGTATCTGCTCATGTCGTTTAGCACATATGTGCAAGGTGAAGAGTTTGCAGTGTATATGCTGTACGATCCGTGCCGTTTATCATACAGGGGCCTCTGAGTCAGGCAAACGAAGATACTCACGATCCCCAGAGTTTCCTATCCTTCCCGAGTAGACTCAGTGTGCTACCGTCGGTTCATATTGGTAGCGGAGCCGGAGATCCACCCTGCGGCTCCCCCGTCGCCGCCGTGGCTGGGACGCCGCCTCGCGCCCCAACCCCGGCGCCGCCGCCGGGCGGCTCGCCTCTTGCTGCTGCCAGCTCGCGGGCGGCAGCGGAAGCCTCCCGGATCCCAGGGAGCGAGCCGGGCGCCGAGGGCGTTCGGTGCGCCGAGACGGGCTGGTGGAGCCAGCGGCAGAATCGGTGGCGCCAGGAGTAGGGGGCCACATGTGAACCCTGCCCCTACCCCCCACGATTTCTGAGGGGGAGGGTGGGGTTCTCCCGAGCGAAGTGAACCCCACCCTCTCCCTCAGAAATCGTGGGGGGTAGGGGGAGGGTTCACATGTGGCCCCCTAAGGAGAGTTCGATCTGGGACGGGGGAGGAGGCCTCGTTGCAGGCCCCGAGTGAGACGGCGCCGAGCGACGACTGCGGAAGGCCGAGGGCTGCAGAGCCTTTTCGGAGGAAGCTCCAGGTCTGCGAGCAGTGCTGCAGGAAGCGCGGCACGACGGCAGCCAGCGAGGGCGCATGCCTAGTGATGACCTCGCTGCAAGGCGACGCCGCGGAGGCTGCAGAGGACATCGACACGGATTTGCTGGAGACGGAGAATGCGTTCGGCCTGCTGTTCAAGGGCCTGCATGAATATTCCAAGTGCGACAGTCAGACCGAGCTGTCAGCCCGCACAGATCAGTTGCTTTGTCGGCTCGCACGCCAGGACAAGGAGACGATGAAGCTCGATTGCCTTTGTCACCAGCGAGAAGTGCGGAAGGCAAAGGAAGTCGGCATGGAGATCCTGGACATGCTGGCGGGCTGTGACCTCCTCACCAGCGCGGTGGCCCCACCATCAGGAGCCGCCCAGGTACGGAGTCAATGCGAGCCCGTGCAGATGGCATCCTTCACTTGCTGAGTTCTGGGAGGTTCACGCCGTTTGAGAAAGGCTGCGCTCGGGCCTCGTTTTGCGATGCCCCCTGCTGTCGCTGCCGAGCCATCAGCTTAGGTTACCAAATCGACGACCGGTGTCCGCTGTGCTTCGCTGCTTCCGACAGATTTAGGCATCGTCTCCAGAAGCGTGATGCTGTCGAAGGTGAGCGAGAGCGTCCTGTGATGCCTGAAGTTCGGCGATTTGCCCATGCAGCTGACGATTGTCTTGCTTGTTTTGGAGCCTTGCTCCGTCCCGGCGGCTCTGTTCCAGGGCCCGCCACGTGTGGAGGTGTTCACGCCGAGTGGGTTAACGGTTTCGAGGCAGACACTGAAGATGATGTATCAGATGATGTTATCGGAGATGGCTCGTGTGCGCGGCGAGTTGCTCCCAAACTCAATCGTGCTAGCTGGGCCTTCAGTGTTTGGTGTAGAGCTGCAGGTGCCGAAATGCTTAGGGCTCGTGGGCCTTTCCGAGCCCCATCCCCCCAGACGCCCCAGGCTGCCGAGCTTTTTTCCTGCAGTATCGCGTGCCAGTGGTGCACTTGGCCCTGCGATTTTTGTTTTGATTGCCAAAACTTCGCCGATGTCCACCAGCTGCCTTTTTTTGAAAATCAGCTGATCTAAGCGTACGCATGCAGGCGTTGCCCAGTTCTGTGGGCCCCTCACCCGCCAGAGTGCAGTCCACAGGGTGCGTGCTCACAGGGACTTGGAAGCCTGCGAAGACGACTCGGCGCGTTATCGTTGCCAAGGTAAGTGTGCTGTCGATGCCTCTGTCAAGATTCCAGCAGGGGTCTTGAAGAAGGAACCCTTTTCGTTGGGGAGGGGCTCCGTGTTCCTTGATTGTTTCAGAGCTTGCCTCAGGTTTTCCTTATGTTTTCGATGGGAAATCGAAGTTCAACTTATGGAAAATAGGGGCCTCGTTCCTTATGTAGGGTTCCTTAGGTCAAGGCCCCGACTGTACGGTTGCTTTACATCCTGAACATGACCCGCAGGATGCTGAGCAGACCGATCAGAACCTTGCTGTTGCAAGAGCGGCGGGGATCCTCGCTGCGAAGCTCCTTCCGTCCTGACCGCGCCTCGACATAAAGGCCTGGGTTCGAGCGCGCCCCCAGTCCTCCGAAGGCCCAGGCGCAACCGTCGTTTGTTGCTCATGCCTGGAGCCAGGCTGGAAGTTGTTGGCAGCGGAGCACGTGTCGCAGAGGTCGGCGAGGCATCCCTTCGGTTCCGCTAGGGGGGGCGGATTGTGCTCTCACTCTCTGCGACTTCAGCATGCTGCTCACATGGCCCTGGGGCATCGATGCATTGTCGTGGATTGCTCTGGTGGTTCGTTTGTGTGTGTGTCTGTGTGTGCCAACGCTGCAGTTACATGACATCGGGGGCCCGTATTGCCAGGCTGGGCAAGGCGCCTGCCCGACGAAAGCAAGGCTCACTCGAACCTGGGGTCCTAGAGGCATTGTGGACCTCATCCTTCTTTTAAGAAGAAAGGGTCCACAGCTGAGCTGGACTCGGTCTGCCTGGCCAGTTCGGCCTGTCCTCAGCCTCTTCGTCCTTCTAGGCCTCCCAGGTGGGGTCGGAGTAGGTCGGAGGATCGCGCCGCATCGCCGACGCAGCGGCGATGCGGCTCGATGTGCAGCCCGATGTTCTCCACGCCGACGTCGCCGATGCATCGCCATCGCCGAGGTAGGCCATGCACCGCCGGTGCATCGGCGGTGCGGCGCGACCTTCCGACCCCTCTCTACTCCGACCCCACCTGGGAGGCCTCGGCCTTCGCCCTCCCCTCCCCGAGGGGTGGCGGGGGGGCGAGGCGGGGCGGGATCGGCAGATCGTGGAGGCCAGGGCGCGCAGCGTTGGAGGCCAGGCGGGGCCCGGGGCCCGACCGCCCCCCGAGCCTCCACGGCGTCGATGCCGAGGGGGAGGGGGCGGCCTCGGGCACGGCGGCCCCGTGGCGGCGGACATGGGCGCGGCTTCTCTTCGAAGAGCGGCCGGCGCCCTCCGTCGCGAGGGGGGCGAGGGCGCCCTCGTCCGTTCGCACGCTCTCTCGCAGAGGGCCCGTTGGACCGAGCCTCTCCCTTTCTCTTGTTGCCGGTCTCGCCCACCCGCTTGTGGAGAATATGGGTTGCATGGTGCCGTTGATGGCAAAATCCTCCTCCGCCTCCTCCTCCTCCTCCTCTTCCTCCCTCCCTCCCTGCCTGCCTCCCTCCCTCCCTCCCTCCCCTTCCTTCCTCCACCCGTCCCTCCTCCCGCCTGTCCTTCTCCCCGCCTCCTCCTGTTCCGGGGACGACGGCGGCGACAACGCCGGCGGCGGCTGCGTCGACGCGGCGAGGCGGCGGCAGTGGCGGCGGCGAGGTGGTGGCGAAGCGGCGCTGGCAGCGGCGCCAGCGGCGGCGGCGGCGGCGGCGGTCCCGGCGGCGGGGGCCGTGCGCGCCCGCGGGCCAGCCGGCGTTTCGCGGACCGGCTCGGCTTTCTCGCGCTGAGGGGCGGCCTGGGCTGCAAGGCGCCGCGGCGGGGAGGCAGGCAAGGACAGCGGCAGGGGTGGTGCAGGCCAGAGGCGGGGGTCTCGCCCTCCCCGCTCCTCCCCCTCTGTGTCGACGTTTTTTCTGGGGGTGGGGCCCTGCCGCTGGCCCCAGGCGGGCTGACCTGGGTGCCGAGGCAAAAGCCCTCCTGGTGAGCACGCTCCCCTTGGTGGCGTGCTTGGAGAAGCGGGTGCGGTGGAGGCCCGCACCGGTGTCGCTGCCATCGCCGTCGTGATCGTCGCCGCCCTGGGTGCTCCTTGATTTCGATGGCTTTGCGATGGGCAGCGTGAAGTTCCCACACCAGAGATTCGGGCCGAACGAAAGGGGCGGACAGGGAAAGGGGGGGGGTACGAAATCTGCTGCATGCAGCTGGTTTCCGCCCCGCCGCCGGGCCCACTCCTCGATACATGGGCGCCTCCTGGCGCCGGGAGGCGCCGGGAAAATTATCCCGGCAAAGCAACCTAACAGCGATGTGTAGAAGCATATCTGAAAGCATTCCCCTTAAGATTCAGATGAAAATCCAGTTGTAGGATTCTGCTGTTCTCGCAGTCGTAGTCGCATTCGCGATGACAGTCGCAGCGGCAACGGCAGTCGCAGTCACAGCCTCAACCTCAGCCTGCCTCAGCCTCAGCCTCAGCCTGCCTCAGCCTCAGCCTGCCTCAGCCTCAGCCTCAGCCTCAGCCTGCTTCAGCCTCAGCCTCAGTCTGCCTTCAGCCTCGGCCTCAGCCTCAGCCTGCCTCAGCCCCCAGCCTGCCTCGACCGCAGCATCAGCCTGCCTCAGCATTCAAAATGTGGCCCAGGAAAGGGAGTTCTGGGAAGTCGAAGAGCACGAAGTTGCCTACAGTTGGCTACGGGCATTCAAAATGGTGGCCCGGGAATGGAGTTTCTGGGAACTCGAAGAGCACGAAGTGGCCTACAGTTGGCTCCGGGCATTCAAAATGTGGCCCGGGAATGGAGTTCTGGCAATAGAAGAGCACGAAGTGGCCTACAGTTGGCTCCGGGCATCCAAAATGTGGCCCGGGAATGGAGTTCTGGGAACTCGAAGAGCACGAAGTGGCCTACAGTTGGCTCCGGGCATCCAAAATGTGGCCCGGGAATGGAGTTCTGGGAACTCGAAGAGCACGAAGTGGCCTACAGTTGGCTCCGGGCATTCAGAATGTGGCCCGGGAATGGAGTTCTGGGAGGTCGAAGAGCACGAAGTGTGTGACTGTTGGCTAAAAACGACTTCTGCGGCACCCTGTCCGGCACCCGCCCAGACCCCCCTGTGGAGTCATCTGCTGCTCTCTTTTTAGCCCATTAGAAACCTATCAGTCAAGCTGTTAGGTAATTATCCCGGCAAAGCAACCTAACAGCGATGTGTAGAAGCATATATGGAAGCATTCCCCTTAAGATTCAGATGAGAATCCAGTTGTAGAATTCTGCTGTTCTCGCAGTCGCAGTCGCATTCGCGATGACAGTCGCAGTGGCAACGGCAGTCACAGTCACAGCCTCAGCCTCAGCCTGCCTCAGCCTCAGCCTCAGCCTGCCTCAGCCTCAGCCTGCCTCAGCCTCAGCCTCAGCCTGCTTCAGCCTCAGCCTCAGTCTGCCTTCAGCCTCGGCCTCAGCCTCAGCTGCCTCAGCCTCAGCCTGCATCAGCCTCAGCCTCAGCCTCAGCCTGCCTCAGCATCAGCCTGCTTCAGCCTCAGCCTCAGCCTGCCTCAGCCTCAGCCTCAGTCAGCCTCAGCCTCAGCCTCAGTCATGCCTTCAGCCTCGGCCTCAGCCTCAGCCTGCCTCAGCCTCAGCCTGCCTCAGGCCTCAGCATCAGCCTGCCTCAGCCTCAGCCTGCAGCCTCAGCCTCAGCTCAGCCTCTGCCTTCAGCCTCGCCCTCGCTCAGCCAGCTAGCCCCAGCCTGCATCAACCTCAGCCTCAGCTCAGCCTGCCTCAGCTCAGCCTCTCAGCGTCTGCCTCAGCCTGCCTCAGCCTCAGCCTCAGCCTTCAGCCTCAGCCTCAGTCTGCCTTCAGCCTCGGCCTCAGCCTCAGCCTGCATCAGCCTCAGCCTGCATCAGCCTCAGCCTCAGCCTCAGCCTGCCTCAGCATCAGCTTGCCTCAGCCTCAGCCTCAGCCTCAGCCTCAGCTCCGCCTCAGCCTCAGCCTGCCTCAGCCTCAGCCTCAGCCTGCTTCAGCCTCAGCCTCAGCCTCTGCCTCAGCCTCGGCCTCAGCCTCAGCCTGCCTCAGCCTCAGCCTGCATCAGCCTCACCTCGCCTCAGCCTCAGCCTGCCTCAGCATCAGCCTGCCTCAGCCTCAGCCTCAGCCTGCCTCAGCCTCAGCCTCAGCCTGCTTCAGCCTCAGCCTCAGCTGCTTCAGCCTCGGCCTCAGCCTCAGCTGCCTCAGCCTCAGCCTGCCTCAGCCTCAGCCAGCCTGCCTCAGCATTCAAAAAATGTGGCCCGGGAATGGAGTTCTGGGAACTCGAAGAGCACGAAGTGGCCTACAGTTGGCTCCGGGCATTCAAAATGTGCCCTCGGGAATGTTGAGGTTGGAGTTCTGGGGACTCGAAGACACGAAGTGGCCTACAGTTGGCTCCGGGCATTCAAAATGTGGCCCGGGAATGGAGTTCTGGGAAGTCGAAGAGCACGAAGTGGCCTACAGTTGGCTCCGGGCATTCAGAATGTGGCCCGGGAATGGAGTTCTGGGAGGTCGAAGAGCACGAAGTGTGTGACTGTTGGCTTAAAACGACTTCTGCGGCACCCTGTCCGGCACCCGCCCAGACCCCCCTGTGGAGTCATCTGCTGCTTTCTTTTTAGCCCATTAGAAACCTATCAGTCTTCGCTGTTAGGTAATCAGCTGCGTGAGCTGGTTCTAAAACCCCCCTTTGCTATCCCCCCCTTTCGCCCGGCCCGAGAGAGCCATGGACGTCCCCGGGCCTCAGGCTGGGTTTCTCTCTCGTGGGCGGTTTCTCGTGGCCCGGCCCCCGCTGCAGCGAGCGCACGAGCTGCCACCCCGCACTGCGCACGTCGCTCGAGGCCCCGACGCGCCCTTTGGCGTCGCCGCGCGGGGCCCGCGCCCGCCGCCCCGCCCGGGAGAGCGCGCGGCCTCGCCACCGGGGGCGATGGCCGTCTCTCTCGGGCCGGACGGAAAGGGGGGGACAGGGAAAGGGGGGGTTACGAAATCTGCTGCATGCAGCTGGTTTCGGCCCCACCGAGGGGCCCATTCCTCGATGCATGGGCGCCTCCGGCGCCGGGAGGCGCCGGGAAAATCAGCTACGTGAGCTGATTCTCCCCCCCCCCCCCCTTTGCTATCCCCCCCTTTCGCCCGTCCCGACTCTCGGCGATGTACAAGGGGGGGGCCCATGGCGAGAGAGCCCCTGCTCGCCTCCAGGGTGCCCCGGGTTTCTCTTGGGTTCCGATGGCTCTGCGACGGGAGGCGTGACGTCCCCACGCCAAAAACCAATGGACGCCCTGGGGTTCAGGGTTGGGCTTCTTGTGGAGGGTTTCTTGTGGTCGAGCCCCTACTGTATCTCTGGCCCCGGGTCGATGTTTCCCGCCCTGGCCCAATTCTCCCCCCCCTTCGGCGGCGAGCGAGGGGGGGAAGTGAGAAGGAGAAGGCCTCTTCTCAGAAGGCGGCGGGAATTCTCAAAAGCCTCCGCGCCCTCTGAGAAGCTCCGTGCCTCTTCGGGGAAGGCTTCGAAGACTCTTATGAAGGCCGGGTGGCTTCCGAGCCTTCTGAGAAGGCCCTCGCCTTTCTTTTCCTGCGCAGGCTGCTGAGCGCTCCAGGCGCCTGTAGCGTCAGGAAGGCCTTCTCCTTCTCACTTCCCCCCCCCTCCGGGCTCGCCGCCGACCCCTGGCCAGGGAAGCACCGGTGCTTGCCTGCCGGCAGGGGGGAGGCGGGATCAGCGGCACCACCGCCAGCGGGCCACCTCCCGCGACGACCGAAGGCGCGCGCAGAAGAGGGGGATGGCGCGAGGGGGGGCGGCCGTTCGCAGGCCCGGAGGTTGACACCAGCACGAACATCGGCGGTGTGCCTCCACCGAGGGAGGAGGATCCCGATCTCGGCGATGGCGGTCATACTCTGGCTGCCAAGGTGGCCGACGTATTACCACCAGCACCGAAGTCTAGGATCAGCCTCCCCCTATGGGGGCACCCCCCTGTGTTGGTGCTGGTGCCCATTTCCAGGCCTCCAAGCCTTCGGAGAAGCATCGGAGGGCCTCTGAGGAGGCAGCGGGGGCTCTTGGAAGCCATCTCGGCATCCAGGCAGCCTTCTTAGAAGCCCCCGGGCCCTTCTACGAAGGCACCTGCCCTCCCAGATGCCCCCCCGCCTTCTTGTTGCAAGGGCGCCATCGCGCCACGCCCGCCGAGGGGAGGGCCACGATGCCTCCCCGAGCTGGCGATCGGAGATGTCTTGGGCGGGACGCCGCGAAGCAAGGGCGGCCACATCACTAGGCGAAGCCACCAGGAGGGAGGCAGGAGGAGCCTTCACGAAGGATCGAAGACCAGCACGAACCTGCACGCGAGCAGCAGCTGTCCGAGGTCTGCGCGGCTATCTCGGCTCCGCGCAGAGCCCTCGCGCTGGGGAAGGGCGTTTGGCGTGCGAGGGGAGGGGGACCCAGCGCCAGCCCAACCGAGTCGCGTGGACCTCCGAAGGCGGATGTTTGCGCAGTCTTTTTCCCTGACAGTGCTTGTGCTAAGGGGCCCTTGCTCTGCTTCCTGCGTAGCCGGGTGGGTGTGTCGGGGTTTCGCCCAGAGGGCGCCCGTGGCGCTTCGTGGGCGCCTGGTCTGGGTGGGCGTCCGTGGGCGCTGCGCGGGCGCATCATGCTGGTAGGTGTGTCGAGGCATCGCGCTGGCCGATTCGCTTCTCGGTGCCCCCCGCTCAGCACTGTCGCTGGTGCAGCCATTCTGCTTCGCCCCGACGAGAGAAGTGCGTCAAGGCTTCGCGGTGAGCGCCCGTGGGCGCTTCGTGGGCGCAACGTGTGGGTGGGCGTGTCGGGGTTTCGCCCGGTGGGCGCCCG